AAGATCAAATTCGAAAAAAAAAAAGTCAAAATAAGGCAGTTATCATATGGCAACAAAATCAGAATCTGGATTCTTGAAGAGTGAAGTTTTTTAAAAAAATGATTTTATCCGATCAATTGGAAAGCAATAATTGAATTTTGCAATTATGGTCCTTTCCGGGAGTTAGAATCGGGTCTTCGGAGAGCTACTGTATCGTAAACCTGCAGAAAAAGAGGATCATAAAAATCCTACAAAAAGAACTTCTATGCAACTCCAGTGGGAAACGAAAACTGACGGAGAATCACAGAGGATTGGATTTAGAAAGCGTGAATTTGAGTTTACGTACACCGTACCTTATTCATGGGAAATTTGGATTTGATTGTGTTGTTTGAACAGTCGTAATAAATCTGCAATATTTAAGGTTGTGAATGTCAAATTAGCTAAGGTTTGTTAGAAGGCGGCAATTATGAAGTAAGCGTGCGATTGCGAAATGGTGTAAGCCATGAAGAACCCTCAGAAGACTTTAATTCGACAAAATTGCAAAGGACACCTCTAATCTATTAAGTGTATACAAATAGGTTCCAATATTTTATTTCTTGTCATTTGAGTCAGTTTTATTATAAGCTTACCGCGCCCACCTCCTCTCTCATAAACTGTTTAATTAAAAAATATTAATAATATCTTTCGATGCAAATCTGTGTTTCTTGAAATAAGAAGAAATTTTGAAAGCTCAAAAAATTGTAAGAAAATAATTTTATGTACTGAGTTTCTTGATTAAAAAGTGTACAAAGCATTTGCTTGTGTAGGCAAAAATAATCTCGTGATCCTAATAGTTAAAGGAAAATAAATCATTAAAAACCCTGAAAGAAGAAGTAATTGAAAATTTAGAATAGTTAAAAGTTTTAGTTTAAGAAAGAAACGCATTACTGTTCTATAAGTAATAGGATTGTCCTGTGTAATTTTTTATCTCGACTGAAAATAAGAATATATCAGTCTTTTCAATAAAATATGATATTTAGACAGCCAATTGGATGACAAATAGGGAGTAAAATGTTGAGAAATAAAGGTTGATGACTAATATTTTGCTCCAACAATGGATTGGGGACTATTGCTCTAATTTTTTCTTTTGAATTCAATGTGAGAAAAATCATTATGCACGTGTATTTAGCCATTTTTTCTCATGTTAAAATTATAATTTATTTTTCTCTCTCCTTATCAATCATACATTTTTCAATTAAATTATTTATTACGTAACTCCAAATTTTTTCTTCTTTTATAACCTCCCATTTTTCAAACAAATACTATTTCAACAGTTAAAATTTCAAATAATGAGGGTCAAAAGGTAACTTAAAATAATATTACACGTGATCTCAAAAAAAAAAAAAATCTTTTATAATTACATATTTTTCAAAAAAATATTACTTACAACCATTAAAATTTTAAATGATGGGGTCCAAAAGGTGACTTATTATATTCTATATTTATGGCATTAGTACTTATTGCCATCGTGTAAAGTGGGAATCTTTCATTGTATTATGAAAGAGTTGAGTTGGTCCAATAGAGAGTTAGCCGGTGATTGATAGCCATTTTTGTAAGATTGAGTTTTTTTAGTAGTAACTTTTTTGGAGAATGAATGATTAAAGAGTAGAAAAAAATTATGAATTTACGTGGGGCTGTTAATGAATTGAACTTTGATCCAAATGAATCGATATTGATTTAGAGTCTCGATCCAATAATCAGATCAAAATTCGAATTCGAAAATTTATTAACTAAATGAAGCAAATATTGTAACGACCCGATGTCTATGCTCAAGTCACCATATCTTATGAATATCCACTTTGAGATAGCATCTCTCTTCTTAATCCTCGCGAATTTCTATTGTATCCACAAGATTTGAACACATAACCTCTCTTTAAGATAGACTTAAATTGAATCTTGGTACTAATTGAATTGGTATCAGAATCTTAATTTGTACCAGAATTGAACTTAGGTCATTTTTTAAGAGAAATGTCAATGGTTCGAATTTTGGGGACACAATAGGAATCCGTGAGGGGTAAGATGGATTCAAACTCTTCCAGAATAATGAATCGTTACAAATTGTCGAATTAGTACTAAGAATCAACTCATGTCATACTTAAGGGAAATGTCAGGAGTTCGAATTTTGGGAACGCGATAGAAATCTATGAAAGATAAGATGAGTCAGCACTCTCTCAAACCAGACAGTACGTAAGTTAACAATTTGGACA